AGCCCAATTTTACCGGTGTGTCTAGAGGAACCCTTACGCAGTCATGTCAAGATTATTGCTTGAGATCATGTTCGTGACCAGGCACCTTCCTGACTCAATAACACACTCATGAAGCTTAAAACACCTCATTTGACAACCTAGCAGGTGTTTTATGTCAAGTTTGTTCCCGGTGACTGCAGCTGCTCCTTTCTTTAAAAGAAATAATAACTTGTGCAGACAGAGAGCAAATGACTCCTGCTAAATGTTTTATGACACCACAGATGATCTCTAGAGTTGAGTACAATTAAAAATTTCATCCAACTACTGACTTTTTTCAGCTGTTTTTTCCAAATGCCCTATTGTTACTTCTGTTGCATTGGCTGAACTCAAGCCACTGAGTTAAAAATTGTCTTCCTGAAAAAGAGAAAAAAAAAACTGAGAGAAGAAACAATAACACCCTGTCCGTTTGATTTAAGTGTATAATGCAGGCTTACATGAGCAAATATTGATGTGGAAATTCTGTATTTATATGTTGCCATGCAGAGCACCACACGTGAGAGCAGTTCCCTTATAATCAGTAGGAGTAATACAGTCACATGGTATTTATTTCCAAATATAATATATTTAATAATCTCATCTGACCAGTTATGCAAAGCATTAAGAATAATAATATTATTTAACATCTGAACCAGTAAATCCAGCAAAATTCACTCTAATTGATTTGAGGCAACTCCTTGCATCTATCCTCATCCTGCCTATTAGTGACATGGAAAGAATTTAACCCAGGACTTGCGCTCTTTTCAAGCTCTTAAGACTACCATGACCTGCAGGACCGAGAACCTACACAGACATTTGACCCAGAAGTTTGATTAAAGATGTGCTATTGGACACTTATTTTATTATCCATAGACTGGTAGCATGTAAACAGCAATTACACTTTGAAAGCCTATGATTCTGTGTAAAACGGGCTAAAGATGCTCTTGTGCTGCTGTTTAGAGTAGCTTTTAGATGATTAGTGTGGATTGTTATCCACACTTCTCAGTGATCTCATATATTGAGAAGCTTGCTTCTCAGTGAGTTGATCCGTAGTCTCTCAGGTCATAATCTCATAGATAATCCTTCAGTTATTCTGTCTTTGGATGACTTAACCCCACTGAATGCCAGGCTAAAAAAACCATTTAAAATAAAGAACACATAATGCTGTGATATAATGATAACAAACACAAAAAAAAGTGTGTTGGAAAAGTAAAAAGGACCACATGATATGATAAATATCACTGAAACACAGTTGAGTAATGCCGTAAAGTGAGGCAATGAACTATGGAAGAGAAACTAGGATCTTTTGTGTACCTATTTTCTTTGCAGAACAGCTGAATCTCTGTTTATCTGCACATTTTGGCAGTGCCTGTAGGTACACTGACAACTTCTTACAAACTGTGATTGTAATTCTAATAAATCTTTCTGCAGAACTTCTTTGCCAACAGAGAAAGGGATTCTGGTGCGATTAAATGAATGCTGTGATTGCCTTCTAGCTACACTTTAGTTTTAAAAAAGTCAGCTGGTATCTTTCCTATGTCAGTGTCACTTTGCAATGTTATGTGACAACCTATATTTCACCTCTAATACGTGCCTGCCGGGTGGGGTTCCTTTTCTCCCGACACCCCCCTGTTGAGGATCATATGATGCTCTTGTGTTGCTTTGTAATGTTTTGCATATGGCTCCCGGGCGAGGATCCAAACTCTGAGTTGAATGGTGTTTTTGTTCAACATGGATCATCCCAGAAGAGAGCAAGAGTGCACACGGCTCCCTCAAACAAGCCTGTCAAGATGTCCGTGGAGGCCCAACGCCAGCACACCCCACCAGGCAGCTGCTGCCTGCCAGGCGCCCATCTACAAATAATCTACTGTGGGAGGAGGTGTCAGTCTGTTCTGTCAGGGTATACAGTGTGTATCCAATTCTGAGTGAATGGTTCAAAGCTATTGCACAAAGAACTAGGTAATAATAAAAATCTCAATAGTGTTTGTATTTAAGCAAACTGAGCCAGTTCTGAAATGTAAGCCACATTCTGTGACTTCCATGTAGGGATTACTGAACCTAGCAGGGACTTGCTCCGGGGTCCAAGAAAGAGAAGCAAAACAGTGTTCTTTTTTTTTCTTTTGAAAATGACTACAAAGAGACATAGAGCAAACCACAGCATTTACACAACTACAAATGTAACAAACAGCTATAAATAAACACACAACTACCAGAATGGGTGCAAAGTAATTGCAAAAAAGAGACATGAAACCACAAAGAGACACAAGATAACTAAGAAAATGGATGCAATGTGCATTTCTACAGATGTGAAATGTTTGTAACACAACCACAAAGAGATGCAAAAGGGCTACAAGAGTTGAGGTACAAAGAACCATATTTTGGAGATATACAAAATTACACTTAAAACATCTAGGATAACTAATAAAAGACGCAAAACAACTACAAAAATATGCAAAATGTCTGCAAAAATAATGAACACTGATGCAAAAAAACAACAACCCTGCACATTGTGACTGCAAAGAAATACAAAACAACTACACCATGATCCAAAACAACTACAAAGAGTTGCAAGAAGAAATGACTGCAAGGGATGCAAGCGTCTACAAAATAGTTAGAAAAATGAATACAAAGAGCCAAAAAAAAAAACTATTGCAGAATGACTTTAAAATCATGCATGATGGCTTATTAAAGATGCAAAACAACTACCAAATTATAAAAGTGGACAACAGAATTACAAAGACTTGGAGAAGAAAAGAATACAATAGAAGAGAAAGGCAACTTTACTGACATTTGGGAATGTAGCGTAAAGTGCTTTGGCGTCCATAGGGACTAAGTAAAGTGCTATACAAATATAGGCCATACAACAGTTAGTGCACATCAAAATAAAATTTCAGCGCATCTAAATCTAAAGGTGTGAATATATATGTATTTTTAAAACTAGAATATAGACACATAAGAATATAAGGGCAATATGTCTCTATACACTATTATTAGAAAGGAAAAGTGTACTAGAGGCATAAACAGGTGCAAAACTATTACAAAGAGATGCAAAGACTACAAATAGAAATACCCAACAACAACAAATATATACGTATGTAAAACAAAGGTGTATTCTAGTCATGCAAAGCTGCAACAAAGACATCTGCAAAAATATCATAGCTATATGTCAGTCTGTTTATTTATATAAGGTTGTGCCATTACATTTATATGAGATGACTCACACATCACGGCACCGTAACAGGTTAGGTATGGGGTGCTACTTAGAGCTTACACAAATAACACACATTTCGGGGGTTTTTGTATTTTCTAAGTGATCTTTTGCAATTGCTAGGTATTTTGGCAACTTTCCATGGTGCATGATTAGCAGCATGCAGTTTTGAACTATTACCGTAGGACACAAACCATCACGTTTTATCATTTCACAGTGAACTGCACTTCTTCTTGTATTACAGAACAGCCAGTCAGTTTTTTGACAGCCCAGTGATCAGGTGGCATGTCATACACCATTAAGCATGACTGCGATCGCTACGGGGTCCATGCTATAAATTCCTAAGTGTTCTGTTCACACATTTTGTTTTGATACTTTTAGTTTATCTCTGCTTTCTTTGACAAATAAAATTGTTTTGACCACTTTTCATAGAAAATGACGATGTAAAATGCTGCATGAAAAACCCCAAGTCATATGGCTTTACCCCCGTTGGAAATTGCTTACAGACAGTCAAGTAAACCGCAATCAGTTTGTATAAACAACACAAGAATATAGCCCATGCTACTGAGCCAATACAGTGTCTCACAGGCCTGGCTGCTGATACAAGTTATATAAATGCTAAAGCGACAATAAGGCAGATCCTGAGAGGTGCCCGCTGGGAAACATGGCCAGCATGCCAACTCTGAATGTCTAGAGCCAGACACTTTGGAGATGTGTGTGCAACAAGCTCTTCCTTTACTTTAATTTGAAAAAGGTCAGTTATATTAACATTTTCAATGTGAGATCACCCCCTTTGATTTAACTGGTGGAAAGTCCAGTCATGATCTGGAAATTTGAAAATGTTGCACTGAATGAAAGTTGTTCTGAGATCTGCTTGCATGCATAAAATAAACTTTTCCAGCTCAAAGATCAATCAAAGCTCTCAAATAAACCTAATATACTACATGGCCTCCCTGTTTCACAGCACCAGTATCGCATTGAGCCTCAAGCCAGGAGTGTCTTGCTCTGGTCATCATGGCAACTCCTCTGCCAAGACCCATCAGAAAGTGTCTGTATTTATCCTCATACACACTGCCAAGTAAATCTTGAAATGCTGCTCTGAGTACAGATGTTGGCATTAGAGGAACATAAACTCCTTAACTTGTTGTTGGAAGGAACTTCTTCCAGCTGTGTGACATATCTTTATGGCTGATCAAGTGGATTAATCCTCCAGAGGGATGCTTGAGGTCACAACTGGATTTTTATGCCAAAACAACTACAAAAATCAGACACTGTCAGAAACTATTCTTCCTTGGATTTTTTATTTTACCATCTATTGAATTCAGTGAGTTTCTCCATGGGAATGTAAATTGCCTACTGGGGCGGGGG